GGGGGGGGGGGGGGGGGGGGGGTACCAGCAAGGAATAAACATCCCCCAACAATTGGTATGTCGATGTATTATATTATGTCTCTAACCCACAAATTCATTAAGGCATTTAATCGACATCAAATTTAATGCTTTTAGTGGGACAAAGTTGTACAAATCCAAACCATTTATCCAATCTGGTCAAATTGGGTTGGAGCAAATAGTCCTATTCAATCCCACCCAATGTGCTCAGACAGATATGATTAGGTTTTTAAATTTTTTTTATCCAAACACCATTGTTTTAAATTTATTTATCAAAATTTCATTTTTTTTTATAAAACGTTATCAAATTTTGATTTTTACAAAATAACAATAATTTGTTAAATTAATCTACATTAAAATATTTAATTTAAAAGATGGTATAATGATAAAATAATTTTGGATAAATTGTAAGGGGTACACCAAATTAGGTTTATTTGGCAAACAGCACACACTAAAAAGATGTAGGGTTATTAAGTTCTTAATTTTGATACTTATTTATATCTAAGTACACAATTTGAATTTGCCTAATTTTTTTGTGACATTTTTGTCTTCCATTGATCCATGTGTGTGTTCTTTGGAAAGTGATGTATTAAATATCTCATAGTTTTATGGGAGAATTTTAGTATTTAATGCACCTTAATTCATATGTATTTGTTAATATATATATATGTATTTATATATATACAATTATATATATATATAAAGTATAACATTGAAAATGTAAAGTGTAAAGTATTATTTTATATCTCACATTTTTTAATGGAAAGTGTAAAGTGTTATAGGATAATATTGAAAGTAACAATAATAATGTAGCAATAACAATGTAACAAGCTATTTACATAAGGTAAAGGGAGACATTACCTAAAGTGTTACACAAACAGAATATACATGTCTCATCTTACGCTAAAAATGCTAATTAATTGAGAAAGTGTTACACTTTCAATGTTAACATGTAACATTTTACACTTTTCATTAAGTAAGGTGAGACATAAGATAATATTTTATACTTTCAATGTATTTATATGTATTTATATACGTATATATATATATATTGTATATATGTATATAAATACATACATATATAAATATAAATAAATAAATAAATATATATATATATATATTAACAAATACACATAAATTAATGTTCATTAAATATTAAAGTTCTCTCCTAAAAGTAGGAGATATTTAATTCACCATTTTTCCTAAAATGGGCATTTATGTATTTGTATCTGACTAGTGTAACTTTTTTTAAAATATTTTTTAATATATATTTTTTATCAAATAAGTCTAATTAAGTGTACCGACTTCCAAAAACCCCATTAATTTTTGGTATCTTCTTGGCCCAGGGAAAGAAACCGGTTTTGTGAGTCCATTAGCTGAGAAATTGGGCCCGAAAAAATATAGAAAAGTAAGAAAAAAAGCTAACGGTAGAATCTTTTCCAGGGACACGTCATCATATTAAATCCCTAACCCAGAGCAGAAAACCCTAGCGCCTCTCGCTATATAAATGCAGCACAAACGATCTACAAGCCAAAGGCGAAGCCTTTCGACGGCTTTATGTATTAGGCATTCTTGTCTAAATTAGGGTTTGGAACCGATTTTCGAATTGTTGCTTCTCTCTCTTTCTCTCTGTATATATGTATGTGTGTGTGAATGGAGTTCGATTTGTGCTTGATTTAGTTTGACTGTTCTTATCAGTTAACCATATGGAGAGATGATATGGGAGGGGCTGTGATGATTGTGTGATTGGTCTCGTTCGTCGTAATGGCATATATGTGCCTTGCCGACCATCCTGATATATCACCACCCATAAACTGAGTCCATCCTTAATAATCGAGGAAACCATTTTTCTTTTTGTATTTTTTAAGCAAAAATATATCAGTTTTAGATTATATGTTTTGTTTGTGTTCTTTGATTTCTGTCTCTCACTCTCTGTTTTTTTTTGGGTTGATTGGCCTATGATTAAAGATTTCATTTATAGACAAGCATATGTCTGAAATATTGTGTTGACTACTCTAATCTTCTCTATGAGGCCAATTAAATTGCTTATATATATATATAGATATATATATATATATATAGATATATATATATATATATATATATATATATTAATTTAATGTTAATTTGTTTTTTTTTTTAATTTGGGTTTTGTTAGGTTGTGTAGAATTGCAGTTGTCAATGATGAATGAAGTGATATATTATTCAT